TCCTCCTCCTCCTCCTCCTCCTCCTTCTTCTTTTTTAAGTTACTACAGGGACTTCCGCCTCTAGCTCTCCGTTGTCCACTGTCCCTGGCGTGCCAGACTCCAGTCCGCTCCTCAGCTCTGATTTCAAATCTTCTGTTTCTTTTCGTTACTTTTTTGCTCCCAGCCTCTGTCGTTATTCTTGAGAATCTTCACCATGTACGCAGTAGTGTTAGGCCCTTCCTTTTGCCCGAGTCATTCTTACACAGACACACTTCACACTTACTTATTCTCCCCCGCTCCTCTCGTGTATGTGTGCTTGTATGCCTCTCTGTTTCTCTCTTCCTATTTATCTCTCTCCCTCTCCTCTTTTAAAATAGTGGCTACCTAACTTAAATTCCAGCCCTTGTGGCTGTTGAGGAATGCCTATAATTCTAGCACTTGGAGAGGCTGCGGCAGGAGAATAGGTTCAAGGTTCACCTGGGTTGCATAGCACACACACCCACCCCCTACACAAGCACAGAAACAAAACAAACACCAGCTTTCGCTTTATTCTCATTCCTTTTCTATTTTTCACAGAATTCATTGCCTTCTAATATTTTATATCGTTGTTGCTACTTTGTGTGTGTGGTACTTGCGTTAGAACCCAGAAAGCTCTATTTCCAGCCCTTGGTGATTTGTTCCTCAACTCCTGTTTTACCTCACTGTCCTTAGTTCAGTGGTTGCAGATGTGCATATCTGGACCTTGGTGACACATCATTTTTAGTGTTTGCACATTAGAGCTGTATGGTAGTAGTTTAGAGTCTGGATTTGTGGTAAGATGAGTTGTGACATAATTTTGACATTAGAGGGATGCCTGATAAAGTTAGGAAAGCAGCCAAATGTGACCTGGGGAGTGTCGGTATACCCAGCTAAATGACTTCATTTGTCTGTCTTTCCTATTGGATTATTAGGTGTCTTAGGGGTATGAGAGAAGAGCAAGGTTTTACTAGGCTGTTTTTTCTTTCTCCTCTGTCTGGTGTTTCCTTCAGTTTCTAGAGGCCTTTGACATTGTGCTGTTTTGGGGACATTCCAGTCACAAAACCCCTACATTTTGGTGGCTCACACTGCTCTTTGAAGAAGATGAATTTTGTAGAGGGAATACTGGAGGGAGGTTGTGGTTTGGTGGCCCACTCGTAAAACTGTACAATTACTTCAAACCTGATGGCTTGTTTCTGTTAGGTAACAAACAGAAAGTATCCAAAGCTAAAAGAAGTGGATGATGTGCTTGGTGGAGCAGCTGCCTGGGAGAATGTGGACTCTACTGCAGGTGAGGGTTTTTCCATGACAGCCAGTGACTCTACCCTGTTTATTATTACTCATTATTATATTTATTATTACATATAATAATGTATTATATATGTGGATGTATTAAAAAAATTTTTAAAGTAGGATCTTTGAAGTTACCATACTGATACCTGAACTGTTGTTTCATTTAGATTCTCAAGTCAGATATGGACAAGTATGATTAAAAATAAATCTGGTAGATATTCTCTTTTTGAAGCAAATTTGGAGTTCATTACAAAAAAGTTTCAACATTGATTTAAACATAGTTGTTGAGAAGGGGAGAGAGATCCATGCTCTAGTGGGTGTGGGCTTTTCAAGAGAGTTATGTTGTATGTATTTTCAAATACCAACACTGAAAAAATGATTAGCCCTAGTATTTTATTTTATTTTTATTTTATTTTTTATTTTATGTGTTAAAAAAAAAACTTTAACTGGGGGCAAAGCATGGTTGCTCAAGCTTATAATTCTGGTGCTCTCTGGGTGGAGGCAGAGTGCTCAGTGCTTATCTGTGCTTCATGAGACCCTAGCTCAGTCAGTCTGCCAACCAATAAATAGTTGTGGGGCAGGATTTCAGTGGTTAAGAGTATAGGACTGGGTTTCCTTTCCAACTTCTATGGCAGCTCAGACCTTCTGTACTTGTAGTTTCAGGTGATCTAATGCCCTCTACTGGCATCCAAGGGTACTGCATGAACATGGTGCACAGAATACCTGAAGGCAAAACATGCACATGAAATAATTTTAAAAAATTAAAAAGGGGGGTGGGGTGTATTTGCAACTTTGGGTATTAGAAAGTAATGTTTACATCTTGGTTTATATTTGATAGACTTAAATGTGATAATGGAATGAAAGAAGATGACCCTAAATAGTACCTGTTTTAAAAGGAAGATCACATGTGTGATTAGCAGTCTTTTCCTCTACAGATCTTCTATGTTGGAAGTTATCATTAGCTAGGTGTGGTAGTATAACTGAGAGATGGAGACAGGAAAATCAGAAGTTCAGTTTTATCTTAGCTACATAGTGACTTTGAGGCCTTCCTCAAGAACTTGTTTTATAAAAGCATCAAAAGTCCTGAAAGTTGAGACTGAGTAGAGGCTTAAAGTTTTTGTTTGTGTGTTTGTTTTTAATCTATTTGTTTATCTTCATGATAGAATCTTGGTATGTATTACAGGCTGGCTTTATAGCAAGCCTCTTACTTCAGTTTCCCATGTGCTAGATTATAGCTGTTTGCTATCTCAGTGGGCATGTATTTTTGTTACATTCCCACAAAACAGACTATAATAGACCCTCACCATGCTTTTCCAGCCACTCTTCAACCTGATTTGAGAAAGGAAGTAAAACCCAGGGATAGAAGGGGAAAGGTGTTCAAAAAAACTTTAAGCCTCTATTAATTTTCCAATTCCGTTGCTTTTGTTGCTTTTATAAAACAACAAAATTATTATTGATTTGCTGTGGGAAGGATGTTGCTATTGGCAAGCTCACTATTGGCAAGGGACTCTAGATGAGCATGGGGATGAGATGTTTACCCACACTTAACAATGTTTTTGTAATGTGGATAATTTGTTTTTTTCTGTTTGTCAGAGCCGTGTCCAAAATGTGAACATCCCCGTGCCTACTTCATGCAGCTTCAGACCCGTTCAGCAGACGAGCCAATGACTACCTTCTATAAGTGCTGCAATGCTCAGTGTGGACATCGCTGGAGGGATTAAGGGCAGGACTTGCCTAGCTGCAAGCATGAATTTTGTGTACTGAAGGTCTTTGCTATATGATAGGAAGCTGACTCTACTGTGGTGAAGGACCAGGGTGAGACTTAGCTCATCTGCAGGTTAGCAGATAAAGTCCTTAATATATAGGCCTCAGGTCCATGGGAGATAAACATAAGGATGCTCACTTGGATTCAGGTCCTGTTCCTTACCATTCAAACTAGGAACTTGGTTTGTAGTCAGTATTTTTTTTGTCAAGACAGGTTTTCTTTGTGTGGTCCTTGCTATATAAACTAAGTTGACCTTGAACTCAGAGATCCACCTTCCTCTGCCTCTGGAGTACTGGGGTTAAAGGTATATGCCAGCACTGCCAATGATAATCTTGAACTGTCTAATCTTTTTTCCTCCGTCTCAGAAGTGTTAGGATTATAAGTATGTGAACTATTTTCATTTTATGCAGTGCTGGGGATTAAACTCTGAGCCTCATACATGCTAAATAAGCACGCTACCAACTGAGCTATATCTCTAACCCTTTTTTTCTTTCTAGAGAAATTATGAAACTATAAAAATACTGAAAATCATTTTAAAATTCTGGAATTATATGAGTCATATTGTGTGATTAGTAACTAAACAAAACTATTCTGTGAATTGGACTTTCTGGATTGTTTTGGTAGGAATTTAAAAGTAACAAAAAACATTTTCTTTTTTGTTGTTGTTGTTTTTTTTGTTTTGTTTTTTTCGAGACAGGGTTTCTCTGTGTAGCCCTGGCTGTCCTGGAACTCACTCGGTAGACCAGGCTGGCCTCGAACTCAGAAATCCGCCTGCCTCTGCCTCCCAAGTGCTGGGATTAAAGGCGTGTACCACCACCGCCCAGCGAAAAACATTTTCTATTGCCAGCTTTGGAAAAAGTTCTACAGTAGAGCTTGTACCTAGCATTTGAACACCATCCAAAACTCTATTTCACCTCAATAAATTTAGAAAAGTTACATATTAAACCTGTGTGAAGAATGAGCTTCTTTCTATATGGACTGACTTCTGATGAGAGTGTCTCAGAAAACTCACAAGCATGAATTCCTCTACCATAAAGAGTAACAGAAAAGTTACCTATTTGTTGAAACCACTAATGGTTTCAACCATTACTTGGAAGTGGCCAGGTATGCTCCTCCCCACAGTTACCTGGCAACAGGCAGGTAGCCCTGCCCACTATAAAAGGGGCTGCTTGCCCCTCCTCTCTCTCTTGCTCTCTTGGCCCCTCGACCCTGCGCCTGCAGGTTGCCATCTCCCCTCCCCCCTTCCCTTCCCCATCTCCACTCCTCTCTCCTCTTGCTCTCCCACTCTCTTAATAAACTCCCTCGTGGGAAGGAAAAAAAAAAAACTCTGTAAGGAGGACATATATGTGTGAAGTGCTGGTCCCTTCTGTGCAACTTGACAGTCATACACATGATAAGGAAAGTAGATAGTAAAGAGGTCTAAAATAACAGATTTCTCCAATGAATATCTGATGTTTTCAAAATCCTTAATGACATAGATGAATAATTCATAAACCAAGCTGACTTTGAAATCTTTGGATGCTTTCAAGCCTTTGGAACCTTGTTGCTTATCTACTTTAAATAACTCTGTTACAAAGTAGAGCCACACAGTCTTCTTTGAATGAGGGTGTGTTGAGTATTAGAGCACTTGCATACACAAGCTCTGGGCTCAGTCCTTGGTACTGAATGGCAGAGGTGTGTGGGAGAATGAGGATGTTTACTATTGGTAAGGGTTAGGACATTCTCACATTGCTGGTTGGAGTAGAAGTTAGTGCAGTAGTTTCTCAGGGCAATAGGGCAATATCCTTCAGTATTGTAAACTACTACCCAAGGTTGGCACACATGTACAGTGTTGTCATTAGAGAGGTTTTCCAAATGGCCTCTTTGTTACCCAAAATAACTCTGACACCTAATTATATGTATAAATCTTTAGGCCATAGACTTGACCTGTTCCATGACTAACTCATGAATTAATTGTCCTGTTTATTTTAATGTAAGTCCCACCACTTGGCTGATTACCTGGTCCTTAGTTTAATGGTTAGGGGATTAACGGTTAGGGTTAGGGTTCAGGATAGGGTTATGAGTTAGGGGTTGGGGATAGGATTAGGGGTTAGAATATGGGTTAGGGTTAGGGATAGGGTTTTAGGGTTTTAGGGTTTTAGGGTTAGGGGTTAGGGTTTTAGGGTTTTAGGGTTAGGGGTTAGGGGTTAGGGTTAGGGTTGTTAGGGTTAGGGGTTAGGGGTTAGGGTTAGGGTTAGGGTTTTAGGGTTAGGGTTAGGGGTTAGGGTTAGGGTTAGGGTTAGGG